AACAACAACAACAGTAATTCATCAAAATATGTTCATTTACTGAAAAGAATTGTATAAACTTAAAAATTTAGTTTTACATGTGTTCTCATGAAGAAACGAAAAAAACGTGCAATTCCGAAAACTAGAATTGGCATTCTTGTACCTGACCATTTTCTCAGCAGAAAGTAATCAAATAACCTTGCTTTTTAAAAGTATATATTTAAATATCTTCCAGTATTGTTGAATCAACTTTACCAATAATTAATTTGAATGTAAACAAAAACCTTTCAACATTAAACTTTAATATTTTCAATATAGCGGACATTAACAAGGCTCTTCTTGCAAAGAGAAAAAGATTAGAAATGTATACCAAAGCTTCTCTCAACAGCAGTAATCAGAAAATTGAAAATATTTGGAAAACACAGCAAGAACAAAGGTAAGATCGTGGTAATTTTAGAGCCACAATGTTTGTATTATTCATATTCATGGATGAAAATCACTAATGACAAATACTATTCTATATACTGAAAGATTAGTGAAAAAAAATTTTGACTTGATATTCTCTAAATAGGTTTGTCTTTTAGCCTATAACTTTATTATACCATAAAATTGAGATCTGTTTCCTGGTAGCCAATAAGGATTATCTTTTTCCTTCATTTTAAATAAATATTGTTACTGTAAAAGAAATACTCAGACCTATAGCCAGGCCCCCATCACCTCTACCACAAGCCTATCCCTCACCCCAGTTAATATATAATGATTTAACACTGTTGCTTGAAAAAGAAATTTTTCCAAATCATTATAGTAATAATTTTAGACAAAAAATACTCATTCTAAAATTACGCAAGCTGATTAGTAGATATTATATAAGCCTTAATTAATATTATGATAATTCAAGCAATATTCAACAATATATAAAAAAAGGTCATCTTCATAGTGCAAATATGTATTTGAACTAACTTAGGCAGCCAGTCCTTTTGTATAAATGTTTTTGTGTCAGAGTGAGGAATAAATTAAGTGTAAGTTTTATTCATAGTGCTGTATAATAACTTCATTACATCTATAGCATACTAGAACCAATTTAGTAGGAGAAAATGAAAACTGGAAATACAATGAAAGGGTTTTTTCCTGGAAAACTTTTACATATTCCATTTTCTTAGTTTTTAAGAGCTAAAGACTATCTCTGTTGTTGTTGTTAAAGTAACCATCATTGTATTTTTAGTTTCTTAACAGATTTGAGCTGCTGTTACCTCCTTTTTTATAGTATAAATTATATAAAATCTTTTTTTCTTATTATGTTTTATAGGCAGAAGCTTAGTGAAGACTATAATCAGCAGTTTCTGACTTGCTTTCATCAGTGGGAGCTAGATATACAGAAAAATAAGGAACAAGAAGAAAAACTAGTTGTAGGTATCACTGTTACTTTTATTATAAGAATATCTGTTCAGTATTAACCTGATATAATCAAAGTTGAAGAGCATGTTGTTTATGTGATGTTGAGTCGTGTACGACTTATAGCGACCCTTTGTACAACAGCTCTAAACATTGCTGTATCCTGTGCCAGTCATACGGTCTATGACACACCTACTCCCATTACCCCAGGCACTGAATCAATCCGTCTCATCGAGGGTCTTCCTCTCTTGTATTGCCACTCCACCCTCCTAAACATGATGTCCCACAAGACCTGGTCCCGCCTTGCAGCATGCCCAACGTATGTCAGACAAAGCCTCAGAATCCTTAGCTCCAGCATCATAGCTCAAAGGCATTAATTCTCCTTCTATCATCCTTAGTCATTGTCCAGCTTTCTGAAGAGCTTAGTCTTGTATTAAATTCACATTCACTACCATCACGTCAGTTTTCTGACGCAAAGCATTCCTTCATCGGGTTTCCAAGACTATAAATTGCAACAGGATGAGCCAGCCCATTTTTCTACTGAGCAACAGCTGGTGGATTTGAACCACAAAACTTGCTATGGGACTAGAGCTTGCAGTGCCAGAGCTTCTGTATCCTTGCTGTAGACCCAAGAAATTTAGCAAGGTTCTGTAACCCATGGCAGCCTATGTTTTGCCCCTGCTGAACTGCAAACCAGAAAAATAACGGCATATACCAAATTCACGAAAATCTTTGGTTGAGCTTCCTTGTAGCTTTAACAGAAATTTTCCAAAGAACAAAATAAAAATTAGCTTTAAGGATTGCTATGGTACAGTGACTAAAATGCTCGCCAACAGAAAGGTCTGTAGTTCAAATTCATCAGCCACTTCGAGGGATAAAAATGTGGCAACCTGCTTCTGTAAAGATTACAACCTTGAAAACCTTGTGGGACATTCTACTCTGTGCTGTACTGACAGCACACAAGAACAATTTACAGGTAGGGGTTACAGAATGGTTACTCATACATTGTCATGTGGGCTTCTAGCTTCATTTCTCAATGGTAGGTTCTTAATGTAGTAAGCAAGATAGCATTTTGCTACCTTAAAACTAGTTTTATAAACCCAGTGGACTTAGTCTTTTTCAATAGCTAGACAGAAAAGTACTCTGGAGTTACCTAGTTTGGATCACTTGCCTATTTCTGAGCTAGTCATTGTGATCAAAATATAATTCTTCATAATGGCCAGACTCATGTCAGTTCCCCATCCCTATAAGGATAGACAAAATATAATTCTTCATAATGGCCAGACTCATGTCAGTTCCCCATCCCTATAAGGATAGAAGTCAGCCCTAGCTATACACTGCATAATTACTACATTCTTCTTGGATTTCATCCTTTTATTATTTGTAAAATAACACAAATTTCTTCTCTAAAAATTAAAGGCTAATCAGAGTTTGGGAAATGTTAAATTTGAAGTGTAGGGGAAAAGATAAAATTCTAGGTGGGGATAAGTAAAAACTGAAAAAGCTAGCATTGTTATAAGGATCACCGATGTAGATATTCAATTCACTAAGAAATAAGACATGTTTGAATACTGTTAAGAAATATTTGTGACTTAACATCTGGTAGATTATATGTTGTTTTTATGTATTAGTATTGGATACAAACTAACCAAAGTTGATCATAATAATTAAAATGTTAAAAGTATAGCCTTTAATGTAATACAGAATTTTTTCTAAATAAAAAATTATTACAATCTTTTCTATTGCAGAATGTATTTCGACATCAACAAAAGGTTTTTCAGCAATCTAGAATTGTTCAGAGCCAGAGACTGAAAACACTTAAACAGTTATATGAGCAGTTTGTAAAGGTGTGTTGAATTTGGTGACACAATACATTCTTATAATGCATACAAAGAAATAGAATTTATTCTCTTTTCAAATTATGGGAAAAACATTTTGGTATATAATTTTAACTTAGTAACCATTTTTTTATTTGAATTCATTTCTTATTTAACTGGAATGCTAAATGTATTTTTTTTTTTTTTAGGATTCATTGACAGTTCTGTAAGAATTACTTAAAGCAGGAAATGATAAACTGATTTGTATATGTTGTTGTTTGTACCGTCGGGTCGTTTGTGACTCATAGCGACCCTATGTACAACAGTCCTAAACCCTGCTCTATCCTTTGCCAATCGCATTGCCTCTGACACACCCATCCCGATTACCCCAGTCACTGAATCAATCCACCTCATAGAGGGTCTTCATACTATGCATAAAATTGATGTTAACACTTTTTGCATAGCTTTCTAACCTTGAGGTTTTTTAGGAGAACAGTCATAAGTATGTATTTGAAAACAAAGTCTAAAAAGAATATTTAGGAGGTCTTTTATCATTATCATCTCCGTATCACTCACTGCTGTTTGTTGAGTTGGAATCGCCTCATAGCTGCCTATCTATAGGGTTTTTGGAGTCTGTAGATTGCTCAGGAGATTTCACATCTTTCATTAGAGAAGTTAGTGGATTCAAATTGCCTGTCTTTGGATTGGCAGCACAACTTCCTACTCACTAGGCACCTAGACCTCTCTATTTTCAGTATGTGGGTTTTTATTGATAGGGGAGTGCCAGCCAGTCTTTTTTTGCTTCATCTTCAACTTACCAGTTCATGAAACCATTGCTTTTCAGCAAAGTATGCTACTGTTTTCCCTCCTATACTAATACCTGACTTTAAAAAAAATTTATTTACTGGGTATTTTAGTATGTATTTACTTAGACTTTTATTTGTAATAAGTATTACTTCAAACTTCTTGTTTTAAAAAACTAATTGTAGAAGTTGCCGGAGATGAAAAATTATTTGTAACTGAACTAATACACACTTGTGTTTCAGAGTATGGAGGAAATGGAGAAGAATAATGAAACACTTATTAATGGTGCACAAAGTGAACTAAGAAAAGAAATGGCTATGTTACAGAAAAAAATTATGATGGATACTGTAAGTTATTTTTAAACTGAAAAATGAGAATTTAGGTGTTGAAATATTTTATTTGCTGAAATATATATAACACTTAACTAAGTATTAAACAAATGTTTCATATCTTTTTTTCATATAACAGCAGCAGCAAGAGATGGCAAGTGTTCGAAAGTCTCTTCAATCCATGTTAATCTGATGACTCTTTGGAGAAAGAACTTGAACCTGTTCAGGTGCTTGATGACATGTAGTCTTGAAGATATTTATATGAAGGTGTCTTGAAATTTGCAGGCACAAAGCACTAAAGTATATCGTCATGTCAAATGAAGCAATGACCATTGCTATTCGTAGGACAATATATTCATCTACAAAATTACTAAAGTACTGGTCTAAGAATAAAAGACCTGGCCCAATAAACACAGTATCTTGAATCATGATAGATGGTGAATAGATTGAGATTCTTTTTTTTAAATTTTTTTTTATTAAGAACAACTTAAGTTTATTTCTAGAATAAATTAAACTGGTAAAAATCATTAAGACAGGTAAGCAAGATTTATAAATATCAGTTTTTAAGACACAAATTTGTGAATATGTCATTTCTACAAGACATCAAAAAGGCCATTTAATTGGGTTTAGTCCACAATTAAATGACACTCTGCTCTTAACTATTAAGAGCATTTCATTAATACACTTAATTGCATAGGGTTTAAATATTTCCCATCTGTCTTTAAAATAAATTACCAAGAAAGTTCTCTTTTTCACGCTTAATATTCAATAAATATATGGGAATTTGATTTCACATTATTCACTGAAAATTTCTTATGCCTTGTTTTTTTAAAATGTTTATTTTTTTTTAAATAAAGAACATGAAATCTTCAATTGGAAACATTGGATCTAATAAATAGTAAATGGTTTCAAAATTTGAAATGTAAAATTACTTTCAGTGGCTCATCTGAAACAAAATAATGCCCATCAGGAGGAAAGCAGCAACTTGTTTTTCATACAACTTTTAAATTCTATTTCTTGTCCCTATAACTGACCACTCTCTTAGCTTTAAGGATTATTAAGGTTTTTTTTGCGTTTGTTTTTTTTTAAAAAAAGGCCATACAGAGTCTCTTTGTTACTGTAATAACATAGAGAAAAAAGTTATTCCTCTACCATTAGTAAATATTTGCGATAAATGGACCAGTTACTTCCTAAATCATTACATTTTAGAAAAGATTTTCCTTTTAAGCTACAGTGTATTTTGATATATAGATCCCTATTACTATTCAAACATCTATGAAGGTCTGTATTTGAGAAGTTTTGCCAATAGTTAGTCAAAAGAACTAGATTGTTCTCTGTATATATAACTCACATAAGTGTATTTATTTTTCTCTCTTAAATACAAGTTTTCACTGTTTTATTTAATAGGCTTTTTTCTTAAGATAAAGAGTTTGTTCACTATTTTATGTTTCCTAATTTTTAATCACATGGAATATGATCTGCATAACTATTACATAAAAATGGGGCCAAATATGAATCAGAAGATACGGCTCCGAAAGATCCAGTGAAAGTTCTCATATTCATAATGAGCAAGCTAAATGTAAAAATTTGTACTTAAGATAGTGGTCCAAAGTTTGGCTAATATTCTAAAAGGAAAATATTTTTGCTGTGTTTTTTTTTAAAGTTTTTTTTATTCTTAGATGCTTGTGATTTTTAGTTACTGTTTTCATTTTTCATAAGAGACTCTTAATGTCTTCCTTATGACAAAGTTAAAGAACCCTCAAAGAACAAGTTACTTCAAAACAAGATTCGTTTTTTTGAACTGACTGCATAAATTTGTTACAAAATACAAACTAGAGAAAATTCTAGTTAGCTTTCAAATTCTAATTAGTGAACTAAGAAAAGAAATGGCTATGTTACAGAAAAAAATTATGATGGATACTCAGCAGCAAGAGATGGCAAGTGTTCGAAAGTCTCTTCAATCCATGTTAATCTGATGACTCTTTGGAGAAAGAACTTGAACCTGTGATCAAAACTTGGTATACAAAGAGGGATTCATAACTGAGAGACTAGTACTTATGCTTTATGTTCACGTATATCCTTATTTGGTAGTGTACTAGCCTCCTGCAAAGGGGGAATTTCCTTCACTCATAGATTCCCCTAACTGCTTCTTCTCTTCTCTTTGGGATATTAGTCAGTCAATATGCTTGTGAACCTGTTCAGGTGCTTGATGACATGTAGTCTTGAAGATATTTATATGAAGGTGTCTTGAAATTTGCAGGCACAAAGCACTAAAGTATATCGTCATATCAAATGAAGCAATGACCTATTGAGGCAAAAAGAATATACATACATTATGGTCTATCTTTTATAAAGCAGCAGCATTTTTCTTATTCCCCTCAAATCTGAAAAACCTTAACCTAAAAATTCTCCATTAAAACCTCTACATTTTAAGAGTGCATTCATCTATTTCCCGTTTATGCTTATAGTCCTCTGAAGAAGCCCTGGTTGTCAAGTGCTTATTTTTTAACAGGAAGGTCAGTGGTTTGAACTCCGCAGCGGCTTTCTGGAAAAAAGATGTGGCAGGGTCCTTCCATATGAAGTATAGCCGTAAGGCACCCCTTACAGGGGTGCTGGAGCTCTGATGGTGTGATAAATTTCTTGTTACATCTTGAATTGAAAAGTCCACAGTTGAAATTCACTAGTTACTTTGAAAGAAGGATGGGCAGTCTCCATAAAAATACAGTTGTAGAAACCTGATTGAGGGTCATGGTGAGAACTGGCAGTGGTTTTGTGTTGTTTTTTTTTTTTTTTTTGGTGTAAAGCCAGAATTGGCTCTATGGCAAATGGGCTTTGGGTTTTGTTTACAATCTTCTCATAGTCGTGAAAAGCAGGAATTCAACCTGAAGACCAAGGTATACCTCATTCGAGTCACAGTCTCTCCAGTCTGTGCATATAAGAGCTAGACAATGAATGAGGATAACAGAAGAATCAATTCATTTGAGTTGTAGAGTTGGAGGAAAGTGCTGACCATCATACGGACTACCAAAAGAACAGGTGCTGGAGAAAGTACAACCAGAATGTTCTTGGAGGCAAAGGTGATGAAGTTCCACCTCATATATTTTGAACATGATAGGGGAGGCTATTCCTTGGAAAAGGACATCATGCTTGAAAAGACGAAGAGTCATTGACGGGGAAGAGGACCTTCAGTGAGATGGATTGATGCAGTGTCTGCAGCAGTGGGCTCAGATGTGTCTGGGATGAAGAGTGCTGCATAGGGTAGGGCATGGTCTGCAGGATCTGTTGCTAAAAGGGTCACTGGGGGTCATGTGGCACTTCACAACATCTTATCCTTCCTTAACCTAGAGGATGAATAAAAACTGCTCTGAGGGCTTTCCAAGGCTGCAGTCTTTACGGAAGCCAACTGGACATCTTTCTCCTATAAAACAGCTGGTGATTCTGAATCACCAACCTTCCAATTAGAAGCCAGGTACTTGGCTACTGTACTACCTGCTAAGTCAGAACTCACTCTGTGGCAATGGGTTTTATAATCCTCCATGCAAGGTATTTCACACTTAACAAACTAGCTAAGAAAAGTGAAAGAACTAGACAAATAGCAAAGCTACAAAGTACCATAGGCCAAGTTTTCTGACTTTATAGTCTAATCTTTTCTGCTGTACAGTAAAACCTCAATTCTGTACTTAAAGGGGCTATCAGTCATTTTAATAAACTCATCAGATATATTACTTCTTTGAGATTAATTGTAAGAACATGAAAGGCCTAGGAAAAAATCACAGGTAAGGGAAAGTATTTCAACATCAGTTGAAAGTCAACCACAATGGTACTGGTACAATGACAGACACATAGATTGATGGAATAGAATTGAGAACCC